GATACCGTCTTTAATATTGCAGGAATCGAAATGTCGCACTTAGATTTACTATGATGGAAAATCATCACACTATAAGTGTGTGTCTGTGTGTGCGAGTGGGGGGGGGGGGGGGTCGTTCTTCTGAAGACAACGGGCGTGTCTCTCATTTCAAAGTCATGGGAGTCGTCCCGGTGGCTTTCGTGCAAGGGTGGTCAGTGAACAACGTTTTTATTCGTGTTTTACACGACCCTTGTCCCAAGGTAGCCAACTTTGAGCACCTCGTCTTCTCAGGTAAAGACAGAATTTTAGTGGTCCCAAGTGCACATTGGGCACGATAAACATACCTGTGTCTATCACTGCAATGTTTTACACTCCCCCCCCCCCCCCCGCTCTCAAAAATCGACAATGAAAATCATTTAGGAGGCGAAATTCCGACCTTGCCCGTCAGGTCCAACCCTGGGTAAGTTGGATAAACTACGCACACCTGCCAAAACAAGCAGCCACGCCAAAAGTGAAAATCTTTCGCTACAACTTGAAAAAAGCTGGTTCATAAAATTGTGTTTGTTTGTCGATTGAGTAAGGAGAAGCACATCGTCGCGAAAACGGTTATGGAGTGTTGGGTAAAAATGTAGGAAATACTGATAGAAACACAAGAGAGGAAAAGAAAAGATTTAGTGGCTAACAGTGGCGTCCTTCCAACCACTGGCCACTGTGCCAATATGATCAAAGTAGATCTCAACAAATTAAGAGCACCTTCGAAAACAGAAAACAGCGAGTGGCTGTTTGAACAGCAAGAAACTCCACAATAACGTGTCCCTGTCCGGCGTGAGTAAAGAGAAGTACATCAACAGGATCACAAACTCCCCCCCCCCCCAAAAAAAAAAGAAAAGGAAATTAAAAAAGAAAGAAAAAGGAAAAAAAAATAAAAATTTATTATTTTTTTTACACAAAGTTGGAGAAGAGCGGATTTGGTGTTGATTTCCTTCTTGGACACCCTTGAGATTTAGCTTTGAGTAGGTTGAATACATTTTTTTAAACCCATCCCTCGATCATAATTTTGAATAATGAAGGCATACCATTAGAGCAGAGAACGGTACAAAAGGGTGTGGCAGGTGTATGCTAATATTAATGTTCACACAAAAACTATATACTAGATCAATACAGAACAAACAGAGAGGGTAAAATTACTAATTTTGTTGCATCCATCTCTTTATTTGGCAACATTTGTCAATAGCAACAGCCCATAAAATTTATACAATGAAGATAACGAAAACAACAGATCAAACAAATTCTAATTATTTATGCACAAGTCTGGATTTCAAAAAGCCTAAGGGAAATAACTCTATCTGAATCTGGCATAAATCTGGGCAGTGACTATTTATTTGTCCTTGTGTCCGTGTGTCGTATGCGAGGACAGGGAGGTTATTCTTTGTGTTTCCTGTACAAAAAAGGGAAGTAATTATAGTCACTGTGTCCAACAGAGACAAATCTCAAAACCCTTGAGTCAGGACTTCCCTAACAAACAAAATTCAATTTAGGATTTCTTTTTAAAAAGGTTTAAGTAGTAAAAGAATCTGTAAGTTTTCTTGTCTGACTGAGACAAAATGAAGAATCTCTCTGGGCCTTAAGGAAATTGGGACAAAGACAAGGAAAGTAACTACTCTAGTCTATGTGTTTGATAGAGATAAAGGAAATAACACGTCATGTCTTCCCTTTGACAAATAAATAATTTTTGGACACATGTATTTAAGAAGTATCTGCAAAGTTTCCTTTGAGTTTTTGCATTTGAGCAACACAAAGAGAGAACAAAAAAAACATCTTTGAGTCCCACAAAAAAATCCCTCACCAGTCTTGTGATCAACAAAAAATGAAAAACCTCTGTATTCTTTGTATTTCACACAGAAAAGGAAAATGACTCTCTTATCATAGGCAAAATAAGTTACACATTGAACAGGGTTTTGTATAAGGAAGAGGCAATTTTTCAGATATCTGGATATAAATCTGAAATAGCAATCATATTCACCTGTACGTAAGAATGATTAAAATCAGTATGTAAGTAATTATTCAAAAAGTAAAAAAAGAAATATATATATATGTAATTCCTTTAAAAAAAAAGGAGAATTCCTTTAAAAAAATAATTAATGACTACATAACTCTAACAAGTCGACATAGTTTTTCAGAAGTACAAGAAAGACATAGCGGGGCATAGATAATACAAATACAAAACAACAATGGAATGCAGAAGCATTGAGTTATGAGGTGGGAACCACACAACTCCACACACAATCATTCTCAGTATAAACAACTTGCAAAAAAGGAAGATTCCATAGCAAATGGCAAGGCATTACTGCAGTAAGAATCTCAACATTAACATTGCCATAACCAGATGGAAAATTCCATTACAAGATGCTGGTACCCATTTGGGTAATAGCATAATATAAATAAGAATAAAGAACACAGCAGAAAATCACTGCACTGTATTCTGGATAATAGATGCATTTTCACATCTTGGTTAACTCAGAATTTCCGCAATTTCTGATCTTTAATACAGTGTAACAGGTTTGCATAGCAATGTACATAATGTTTATTATAACATGAATAGTATATTCTTCAACAAGCCTTTAACTATTGATTTCCAGAAACTTGAACACTGTAGCTACAAAACACAAGTAAGGTTCATAAAGAAATACAAGCAAAACATTTGGTCTTTTACCAGGATACCGAAAAGAAAGAACTAATTTTGATATTGGACAAAAGGAGCTTATTTTCCAGAAGTAATAGTAATATAACATAACTCCTCAAGGACTCTAATCCCAAAGCTCAGAATACACGCTTTAAGTTTGGCAACAGTCTTATACAGAACAACATCCACTGTAAGGACTATGGAGAAAAATTCCTGGAAAAAAATGTTCACATTTAATGCTGGAGGGAAATAATCTTTTAATAAACTTTTACTGCTTCTAAGCCCTGAGTTTGACAATAATCTCTTGAACAAAATTACCACTGCACACGGGTATACAGTATGACAACATTTTGATATAAAATGAAACTGTGCACAAGGTGACAATATCCAAACACTGTAGAAAACCATAAAACAATTTTCTATGGGATTTCTTTAAAAAGTTCATGCTATGAGCAGTTTTTGTTATAATAACAGGACTTTAGAGCCACCTTTTCAAGAAGAGGAAAAATACAGGAGAAAAACAGACGTCTGCTTTCATTTTGTCATGTTAGCTTATTGATAACCCTAAGAAACCCTTAGAAAACATAACATCACAACTGAAAGAGCTGCGGAGCTGGCCTACCATAGAAAACTGCATCTCCCCTCCACGCTTAACCGCAACAGAGGATGAAAAAGTAAAAAGTAAGTAAGTATTAGTAAGCTTATTGATAGTTGGGTTTTATGATATTTTCAACAGTGTGTCACTATTCAGTAGGTAGGATTTCCAACATTAATTCCCATCTCTAATATGATTACCGTAAGTCAAGAAGGAGGAGCATTTAGTCTTTTGTAAGAGTTTTACGGCACTTGCAACACAATAAGGTCATGATAAGTGCCGAAGATTAGACAGGAGAGTAATAAACACAAAAAAGGAGGAGGTAGGATAAGAATGATAGATGTTTGACAGGAAAAAAAGAGAAATCTACTCCAGAGTACCCACAAACCACCCACTAGGGTGGAGCCTTGAAAACTCTGCACAACTGAAGTCCAAGAATGCTCCATGAGGGACGAGATTCTAACCACTGCCATCTGTACCATAGCCCTGCATAATACCCACTTAACTAACAGCCTTTCCCATGCTAGATTCAAAGCTTTAACAAGTATACCTAGAAAAGCTAGGTAAATGGAAATGATATGTATAGGGAAAACAAAATGAGACAACTGAAAGAATTTGAAATCTCAGAATGGCTGTGACTTTAGAACTTATATCTTTTAAAAAAATATGTCACATCTACGGAAAGATGCACACACACACACACACAAAAAAACCCAACCCAACCAAGCACAATACAAGTATTAAGTAAAAAAGGTTCACCAATGAGAGTATGAAAATAATCGTTTACACAATATATACCTTCACAGTGTGACAAAATTACTCATTCATAAAATCTTCACCTTGAATGAACATCATAACAATATTCTGAAATAAAATGATTACCGCATTGAAAAACAAAATTCTTAACTCAGAACACAAAACAATAACTGCTTGCGCAGTGATAGTACTTTTAACTCATTCGCTACACCGAGCCGTGAGGGGCGGCGCGGCTAAAGTGCCGTCAGTACGCCAAGCCGCCCCCGGCGGCTCGAGAACCGATCTTCAATTTTAGCTTAGATTCTATTCCAATCCACATATCCATGTTAAAATAAAGGTCATAATATAATGTTGACTTCCGGGTCAAGCATTTCCACTGAAAATCAGAAATTTAGATTCAGTTTTGAAACGCGACTTCATAGTTTATTCGACTTTGTTTTAACGCGATGCCAGAATTATAGCCCGGACACCAGTCTTAGTAATTTTACACAACAAAATCTATCAGTATTTTGCCCACTAAAGAAATGTAGGACTCTTTTTTATAATATTGATATGACTGGACTCATATTGCCAATGCACTGTTATTGAGAAATCAATATTTTTGAGTGCTAGATCTAGGTCTAGATCTAAATTGTCAAAATATTTTTTTCTCCCCAAAATCACTACTTTTTCATGAAATTACACAAAAAGTGCCACTCCAGACATGTATAGGTTTATTCCAACTGCAATTCTGAATAATATATATTCCATATAAGATACGAGTAGGTTTTTTCTGTTTGTGATCGTTTTTCAGGATTATAAAAATTTTTATTTTTTTTCAATATCGGACATTATGATAAAAAAGTACAAATATTATGGAATGTATGTAAATAACTGCAAACTTTTCAATATTTTCAAGTTCTATATTCATTTATGGTTATTTTGATGCATCATTTGACCAGGTGCAAACATATTTTTTGAGTTTCACAAAAGATTATTAATTTTTTATTTTCTAATTTTATCCGCATCAAATTAAAATTGCATTGCATAATCGCCTCTTACAGGAACCAAAGTTGAAAAATACATAAATAAACATTACAGATGTATTCTACAAACCATACTGGAAATATTGGTATATAATATGTTGATATTTATTTGAATTTGTGGCCCCAAGGACCTTTTAACTGCCCACTAGTCATCATCTCATTTTCCCTCCCGAAAAAAAATTCATCCACAAGCCGAAAATAATACGTAGCGAATGAGTTAAATAAAATGTTTACTCTTCACAGAATGATATATTTTTATACAAAAAGTATTGACTATTCAGTTTGACAAAATTTTTGCTCAATTCTTCACTGACTAGACAAACTGACAGACAAAATATTTAGTTTCAGCCATGGCGAAATCAAACAGAATAAAATGCCTATTATCCAGAATGCCACAAAGTGCTTTCGCAAAATATTCGTCAATCACAGGCAGATGTGTTCTAGTTATAAAACATTCACAATCAAAGTCTGAAAAAGGTCAGACACAAAATCTTTACTGTCAAAAGGAGAATAAAAAATCTTCAGAAGAATGTATTCTGTTTAAAGTTTGACATAACTCTTATACAAAATATGAACTAATATTCTGTCACAAAAAGTCTACTCAATAAAAACTTCAGTCAAAATGACATAACTGAAACCACAAAACAGGTAATTTTTGAAGGTGTGGCACTGAGTCCGTTACAAATCTGCCCAGCTAAGGAGAGGAAATACCTGAGAACAAAATTTTTTTAATGTGGACCTCACTTTCACTCTGCCTCCAACTTCCAGATCTAATCAACGTAACAACCAACTAGTACAAAGGCCAGCTTACACCAAAAACAATAGTACTGTAGACCATGCAAACTTCAGTTTTGATACAGGAAAAAGTTTCACTAGTACTGCTATTGTATTACTATCATGGTCAAAAAAGAGGGCAAGAATAATCATGTCAATATGCAGAAGGAGCCACTAGTCGAAAGGCTTTAGTCTTTAGGACAATATTAGAATTCAATTGAAGCATTGATTATATATGAAATGTGGTTTGCTGCCAAGAAGAGAACAAATCATGTCAGATAAAAACAATATGAAAAAATCAACGGTCATCAGTAGTAGGATATGGGCAGCTGCACAAAAACTCGTGTGGTGGATTGAGTGGATTTGTAATGGTTCAAAACTGACAGTGGGTTAGGTTGAAAGACAAGTAGCTGTTCAAAACTCACAGAGGGTAGTTGTCAAAATTGATGGGGAGCTGCTGTTCACAATTTGAGGGGGCTTAGGTGGGTAGCTGTTTTAAGTTTGAGGAAAACTGGAAGTTATACTGTTGAAATTTGTGACAGGTTCGGTGGGCTGATCATCAAAACGGTAGGTTGCAGTTCAACATTATGGTAGGTTCAAAATTAGACAAGGATTTGACAGCTTGCTTGATAAAGCTAGTAGGGATTGGAAAATTACAGAGTTAAACATTCGGTGCTTTGTGTACGAATATGTTGTAGGGGTTGCACAGACATTTAGCACACAGCCCCTGTTCATATTTTAGTTCCCGTTGTAAGGATAACATCTGAAAAATTAAGGTCGTTAGGGTAGTTCATGTAGCTAGTTTGAAATTGCAGCTGATTGCTGTCAAACCAAGCAATTGAGGGGTAAGCTGCTATTCAAAACTGTGGTGCCTTTAACTCACTTGAGCATATTCCAGTGTATTTACGAGATGTGCCACCGGCCTGGTGGCTGAATATCATGTATTTACGGGATGTGTTTTATCAATTTATATCTCTGTTGTTTTTCGGTTACAAGTTATGAGAAGCAATAAGCTAACAGTTGACCCACTTGTTCCGTTTCGTAAAAAATTTGGTGAAGTTGTGTGCAATACTTCTGAGTTGTAACGGACTAAGTCAGTCAATCCTGCATTGTGACTGAAGCTCTGTAAACGGAAACAAAGCCGCGGTAATTTTTATAATGAAACATGTTTGAAATGTAACTTTACTTTTACTTTTTTCTTCCGCTTGTACCCTGGGGTGTCGCGGGGAGACACAGGTGTCTGTCTGCAGCAAGTCGTGTGGCCTGTAGGAGGGACATCCCATGTAATGTAAAAGGGTCTGAAAGTGAAATAGAAGGCTAAAGCTCCCACAATGTCCAACAAAAGTTACTAGAAGCAGCTAGATCGATGGATAAGGCTGTAGCTCAGCCGATGAAGAGTTGGAGTCGGAGTTGGGTGGAAGTGAAAGTAGTAATCAGAATAGCTTTCTTCTTCTAACAAGTCTAGTCCAAGTGATACAAATCTAGTAGTTCTAGTTATGGGAAAAGTATCACTAAATCTATTAGTTGCAAGTGTAACAATACACAAGGTGAGAAAATGATAGTAGTATCTCAGTGTAGATTTCAAACAGAACTCTAGCAACAGGATACTGTCGCACCATTAATGAAATGCATCATGTACTGGACTCCTACAGGAACTCGATTTCATGCTTCCACACCAAACTCAAAATACATAAGTTAGAATTAACTGCTATTATGCTGTTTCTGAGTCATACAGAAAATGTTCTGTAACATATAGAAGAAGTAATATGAACTCTGGGCGTTGCTTATTCCATGCTGTACAGTTATTTTTATGGATAACTTTATTATAAATTTGGTGCAAAAAAAAATTGTGTAAGCCTCAGACATTGCCATTTCCAAACATTGATAAAAGAAAAAAATTTGGTACAAACTAGATGAGGTTCACTCTTTCTGTGAGAGCATTTCTTTCTTTTTTTTTTTGCTGCATTAGAAAAAAATATGATACTTTCAGTCTTTTTGTGATCAACGATTCAATATACCCCAAAACTGTTAGGCTGCAACAGTTGCTGGGTGATAAATAGCTCAGGCTCAACTGAGGTAATGGGACGGATGGTTAATCATTCAAAGTCTGTGCTGTCTTTTATGGGAAATAAAAACGGTCGTTCAAAGTTTGAAGCAAGCCAAAGAGTGACTCTTCAAAACTCATGGTGTGGTGGGTGCGTTGGCGAGACACCTGCTTGGTCTGAGTTGCGGATGAGGTGGTAGTAAAAGTTGATCACCTGCTCGTAGTTCTTTACAGAAATGCGTTCGTTGATGCCATGGAAACGTTCAGGATCTCCCGGGAACATGTGGGTTGGTGAAAAGCGATAAACGTTGTGTGTGAATGGGAGGTAGTATTTCGTGTCTGTGTTGCCGATCATGATTCCTGGGGAGATTGACACGATGAGGAGTTCAAAATTAGAATGTGGAGGGATGGCACAGAAAGGGCTGGGACAAGGTTATTTTATAAAGAAAGAGTTTATCAACACTGTTTTAGTTTTAGAGAGTGTTTTACGGAACTTGCAACACAATTAGGTTATATAAGTGCCGAAGTTTACGGTTGTTACAAGAGAGTAACAAACATAAAAAAGGAGGGGAGATAAAGACGATAGATGTTTGATAGGAAAGAAGGAGCAAACCACACCAGAGCACCTGCCAACCACCCACCTTATCAACACTAGCCACACAAATAGGTCATATGAGTCACGATGCGGTGGAATCAGGCTCTCGTCAGTTTTTGGGCATGTGAAGTTATTGGTATCATCTTAAAGCTTGCTCATTTGTCTTGCTTTGGATAAAAAAATATCCATTTATCTTGAATACAAGTCGAGATATTTGCAAATGAAGTCAGTGGGGGTCACCTAGTCTCAGAGGTAAAATTAGAGAGAAAAAGGCCGCCAAAGCATAGTCATTTTCTTAGCTTGAGTGTCCATGGAAACTGAAAATTTACACTTTTTGTGCCTTTAATTTATGTTTTTCAGTACAATCCACACAGAAATGTATTCTTAAATGGACACGAAAGGTGTTGAGCCAAAAAAACAAAATTCGATAAAAATTGATCAAATTAATAAATATATAAATTACACTTTACTGATCCACATTTGACAAACTCAACTGAATACCTTAATCTCAACTTATAAGTTCCCACACTTAAACCATCTTAAGCCTTAATCAAACACTATAAATACACAACTTCAGTTTTGGGCATTATGCTTTCATTCAGTAAGTCACATACCTGGAACAACTATTGCTTTGGGCCATATCTGGCCTACTGTTGTCTTTAAAACCTGGGAAGAAAAAAGAAGCAACAAATTAAAAAACGAGTCAAGAATAAAAACCCACCCAAAAAAACAACAACATTAATTTGGCAGAGAACAGATAATGATAGTGACGCTGGGAAAAAAGTAGAAGGAACAAACTACACCAAAACATTCACCAACAGAGACCTCAAAGTTTTAATAACCCCACAACTGTTGACAAAAGGAAAAAGATTCAAAAGATCTCATATGGCCAGTTGACCATAGTCACTATTAAAGAGACCTGGACATCTTCACAACAGTTAAGCAGAATCACAAAGAAACCTTCAAAGACCTTGTTCAACTTTACACCAGTGGAATCATCAGTCACAAATGAAGACCTCAGAGATCTCATACTATAAAAATGTCGATCAATTAGTCATAAGTAAAACCTGAGAGATCTCTCAATACCCCAAACAGCTGACATGCTGAAAAAAGCTACCCAACTGAAGGCAATGAAAGAATCTGCAGACACTCTCCTCATTTGGCCACACTCAAAAAGTAAATACAACAAATCTGTTCATCTTTGGCGTTGGAAACAGCTGCTAAAAAGCTGAATTGAGCTTTAGTCTACACACTGAGTCAGCATAACATCTGCCACATTTTGCCTGGTTAAGATTAAAACACCAGTAGAACAGACAAGTACAATTGAAATTGTCCAAGACAGCCACCCATTATCAGGGAGAAAAATGGTTGTCTCAGACAGGTGGATGTCTTTTAGTTTTAGTAGAGGTTTTACGGCTCTCGCAATTGCATAAAGTCATATGAGCGCCAAGGGGTGGATGTCAACAGAGAAGTAATTACAGATAATCGGGCTTACTCTGCTCACCTCTCTAGCTTCAACAGCACATAGTCTGTTTCAACTATCAAGGCACCCCGAAAATAGCAGGTCACAAGAGTGTGACAAACATACAAAAGAAGTAGAGCGAAAATGACGATAGTAAGGATTAGGAAAGAAAAAGCAGCAGTTCCCTGTTGCAGTCCAGGAACAGTTATAGGCATGACATTGATGAATTAGCCCATTTACAATTAACAATTTACTGTGCATAAGAACATATTAATGTCCCCCCTTTGGGAAAGGCCTAAAGACACTTCTGTCAGTAGCACCGCCCTAGGGGGATTGTGAATGTCTTGGACAGTGTCATTAAAATATTTCTAAAAAAGCAAGGGGAGGGGGTGGCGGGGTGGAGGGAGTGGTTGTTTGTACATGTGATTGTCTTGGACAGGTGGCCGTTAGAGGAGATTCGACTGTAGATAAAACGCACCACATGACTGCTTCCATCAATCAACCACCTGCACTGGAAACAGACAGAATGTGTGCACTGTCAGAAATGCGGCAAGAGATACCTGGTAACCAAAGTCTTCCTCTCCATAGCCTGCCGCAGGGTGTGCTTCCATCATGGAGTCCACTTCAATCTTGACTCTGTCATCAGCAATTAAAGCACGGTCATACTCAATGACCTGAAGATACAACAAAGCAGAGAATTAACAAATATCACATAAACAGACACACAGAAAAATTGTTAATAAACACACACAAAGGATTTGTTAGCACTGAGCTGTGGTTTATGGCTCATCCTCGAGATGGTAGCCTTAACTTACATCAATGCAAAAGAACAATAAAATCACAGAAAAGAAGGAGGAGCAGACAATATAGCACCCACTAACACATAATACAAATATTTATACAGCGAGGTTCAAATACATGAAAAGACACGCACGCATATATGGAGCAGCACAAAAGTGCATACAAAAGGACACACATATGCATGCACAAAGGCTCACAAGTGAACAACACAACCACATGCTCAAAACATTTCAAATAAAAATGAACACAAGAACACACATTTACTGCTATACCAAAACACAAACATACACTCACAAATAAGAACTGACAAACATACACACACAAATGCATCTCTACAAAAATACACACTAAAGAACAAACCTATACAAATGTACATATTATGACAAATGATATCTGACAACGTAAACACACAGACACCAAACACTGACGTGTGTGCTAGCACTCACCTCTTTCACAGTCTGAGAAGGGTGAATTCTGTGGTTTACTATGGCCTCAGCATGGGGTGGGATCACATTGTTCTGTTAGATAACAAAGTCAGAAAAATCGGAAAGATCACCATAAAAACTAACATCACAATCATGGTTGTCAAGAGGAACAAGAAGCAGTCATACAAAAAGACATGTGAGGCACCGCAGTGAAATCAGGTGCTCATTAAAATAATGAAATCGAAGAAACCAGCCTTTTTCAGCCAGTTTGGCAATTTTCATTAAATTTTTGTTTTTTAGCCGAACAACTTTTCATATCCATTTAAAAATTCATTTCTGTGTGAATTTCCCATAAAAAAACAATTAAAGGCAGAAAAAGTATTAATGAGTAAAATCAGGGACGATATCACAATAAAAACTATCAGGACCTGTATCCCAGCAATATTATAAAGGCTGGAAATACACACTAACCAGTTATATCCTAATGGGAAACACAACCATAAACCAAACCACAGCCAATGTCATAAAGATTTGTACCGTCTTAACAATGTTTTTTTCTCTGGATTGTGAAGGCCATAATGGCAGAGAGTAAAGGACTCTGCTCGAGAAATATGATAGGGGAACAATATCAACACACACACACACATGTAAAATATAGTGCAGAGCATTAGTATTACAGCAAACTATGTGATTATAAAAACAATCAGCCCATGTCAGTTTTAGCACAAATCATATGGAGATCTGAGTAACTGATAAAATGCTTTAAGTCAAGCAATGCTATTTGGGCAGAATATTGCTGTGGCCCTTACCTTCACACCTGCCTTGAATATTGTCACAGAAGTGACTGTACGTATCATGGCCGCTGTTGTGGGGTTCAGAGACAGGAACCTGTTTAAATACATGTGCAGATTAGTTGCAGAAATAATTGAACGCATCCCGTTTCAAAAGTAACTGTTTCTATGTTATGAAAATAACCAGGCATATCAGGTCACAAAAAAACCCCATACATACAGTGACAGAAATAAATAACAGTACATACTGTGTCCATGAACCAAAATCTTGTATTATGCAAAAAAGCAACTATGTCTCATTACACTAAAGTTACTACATCTACTTCATACAAAAATCAATACTACCCATCCTATCCTAAAAGTTACTTACTGTGTATACCCCTTTAGTTTTGGTAGGATTTTTACGGCACTTGCAACTCAATAACAAAAAGTTAAATTAAGTGCCGAAGATTAGAGTACAAAATTAAAAAAGGAGGAGAGATAAAGACCAAAGATGTATTATAAAAGAGAAAGAAGCAAACTACACCAGAGCACCCTCCAAACACCCAAGTATAAACCATGCCACAAGAGTTACTCTACACATCATGACATGACAATAATTACAAACAATATCCCTAAAGTCTTTTTTAGTTTTAGTAGAGGTTTTACGGCGCTCGCAACTGCATGAGATCCGTAAAAACTACAGCAACTGTACATATCACAGAACAAAAGTACACAACAAACCGAGTCACAAAAATAACACTATCAGCACGCAACATGACACATATCATCACATGACCATAACCACACAAAGGTAACTGAACATATCACCCAAAAAAAAAGTAACAGAACAAACAAAGTTACAAAAGTATCACTGTCAGTATGCATCCTGTCACAAAAGTAACTGAGCATATACCCAGAAGACAGGAACAACCATCTTGTTGCTGTAAGGCGACTCACCAGGACAGAACAGGCTCAAATATCCAGATGTTAGACAGGATCACTCTGTGAGGAATGCTCATCTGATACAAAAGGAAAAGAGCAGTGGTATGCCTCGAATGATAATGAAAAAAATAACAACGATAATAATAACACAATTTTGAATAATAATAATAGTAATAATAATAATAATAATAATAATAATAATAATAATAATAATCATATAATTAGGAAAATGATAATAATGATAATAATAATAATAATAATAATCATAATAATGATGAAAAGATTATTCCCAAAAAAAAAAAATAAATAAATAAATAAATAAATAAAAAATGTTTTAAAAAAATAAAAATAATAATAATAAAAATATAGTCGAACCTGCTGTAAGGGCCACCTGCCCACGACAATCACCTATGCAAATGACCACTTCCTCCTTCTCTTCATGAGCATTATCTATATCATAATGTCACTGTCCACAAGCTGTCTACCTAAACAACACTACTTTTCTCCTCAACAAAAGGTGGCCATCCTCGACAATTTCGACTGTAATTGCCTTTATAATAGCCCATATCCATGCTTTACAGCATACTCTATGCATTTTACAACTATTATTACCCCAGCAGACCCTAAAACACTTAAGTGACATTTTTGGCTTCCCAGGAAGCATACAGCTCAAGCAGCCCATTAAATGCTCAAAGACTTACAAACTGACAAGATCTTTTGTCATCTGTCTTTAGCTGGTTACTTATCCCCGCCTGGGCAAGTGAGGGAAACACAGGTAAAGTTCATTTCCTGAGTATATAACCTTGGGGTTTGAACCCATGACCTTTTAGTTATGAACCCAACAGCCTAAACACTTGACACCACTTTTAAAGAAAAAACTAGGTCAGTACACGAAAATAGAAACACACTGTTGGTTAAGACCAAACACACCACTGCCACATTAAGCACACAATAGCTGAACAGTACCACCCCCCACACATCCATTACATGTTACACTCACTGTCTACATATAGACACACAATAGTCACATGCTGCATACCACAGCCGAAGAACATCAGTTACATAACTGTCACCTCACTATGACCCCTAAATGTCGAGAACTTAGTCAAGAAGTTTGAAATGGAAGGTCCAACTCTACTCAAACCAAATTCGACAGACTATAAGGCGCTTATGAACCGAGCACATTTTATTACAAAAGGCATAAGTGAAGTAATCAGTGGCATCTTACCTGAGGTACCAGGGCCTGAAACATGTCTGTTTCAATGCCTTGTCCAAGGACACTGGGGTGAGGATTAGACTCAAGCCTGAGGACATGGACAGATGAGATAAGGTGACAAACGGCAACAACAAAGTAAAGAGAAGGGATGATGAATTCAATTTTCATCAAATTTCCACATACCATTGTCATTACTTGCATTCATTTCTGTCTGAATTTTTTTTTTAAAGTCATAATTACTAAATTGATTAACTATTGTTTTCCAAAGCAATTTTCTGAGGTAACCTAGAAAGACCATGCTCAGTGAAATGCAAAAGTTCCTTTTTTAAACTGAACAAAATTATGAAGCATGCGCTGGCAATTTTTAATTAAAAAGAAATACGTCATTGACTGTATGACAAGAATACTAAAAGAAAAACCTCCAGCTCATAATGGGCCGTCACTTCCTATCAATTTTGCCCTTACACATTTATGGGAAAAAAAAGCATCTTTCTTTTCCCAAATTCTTCTCCCAGTCCTGCTTCACACCATCCTGTGCCTAAAATTAGCACAACTTGGTTTGGTCTTTTAAATTTTATTATAATTTTGCACGCACGATACGAAAAAGCTTTCATATGCTTGTCAGTTCAAAATGAAAAATAAAAAGAAGTAACTGGACTTTCCCGACCATCATGTATAATTAAAGTATAGAAACAACAAACAAATCATGTTCAAAAGCCAAAATCAACAAACTTCATACAGTTCAAGAAGGACCTTATAAAATCAACACATAAGAGAGGTACAGAACCAAAACAACTTGACCTTCATCATAGCATAATATTAACAAAAACAAAAGCAATATAACAGCATGAATAATAAAAGCAGGGAAAAAAATAACACCCCCCCCCCCCCCCCAACTGTCTTGACGACAACAGCAAAAGGTTAATCCACTAAACCATTTCCCATCTTGTATCGTGACTTACTTGTGCACGGCTCTAGCCAGAATGCCAATGGTAGACTCTCGTGGGGGCATGGAGGAATGGCCAGGGGGAGCATCCACTGACAGCTTGAGCATTACGAAGCCCTTCTCTGATACACCCACACTGATGGGCATGCACAAACACACAAGCAGGCAGGCAGGCAGAAACACACACACACACACACACACACACACACACACACACACACACACACACACACACAAATACAGAAAAACATACACATGAGAACACACACACACACACACACACAGAAAAACACACACACACACACACACAAATGGGGAAAGGGGGGAACAGGGAGAGGAAAAGCACATTTGTTAATCAATAATCTGAAATCAATCTTCAGTTTCCCTTTAATTAAGAGGAAGAACCTTAGCAGCTCCATACCTCAAAAACCTAACAGTAGAATAGGCTTACTACAAGCTGCAAGTCACTACCCAAAATCATTCCAGCTTCAAGCAATCTGTACAACTGATAGTCATAACAAGAAAAAGAACATTGTAAATTTTGAGAGAAAAAAAGGCAACACTATGGTTTTGTTTTCATTTTTGCAAAGATGTTAGAGAGGAACCATAGTGCTCTGCATCAAGAATGCACCAAATCTGTTAATACCCCCACTTTCGGGACCAGTGTGTAAACAGCACTGGAATGGGGCTGACAGTGTACCCAGGTCTCATTAACAGTATTGAAGAAAACATTCGCAACATTGTTTCTCAAAATTAAAGGGAACAGTTCATGACCAACAGAACATCAGAATAATGGATTAGGTTTCTCTTTCCAGCGCTGATGCAAGGCTGGAAAAAAGCCTTTATGACAAATCTATACCTGATTATAATTTTCAGAAGCAATTTAATTTTTTGTTCACTCAAATACACATAGATCTATTTAAAAATGAGGTAACAAAACTGAATGATGAATAAGAAGACACTGATATAAATTTTAAAATAACTATAGCTGTGGGGTTACATATCAGGTCAAAACTGAGAGAGCTTAAAATAGTCTCTGCACAAAGCTCACAAGGATTTCAAATCACAAAGCACCATAGAATGAGGGAAGTTTATTAAACACATACTGCAAGAAACTGCCCTCCTGTCTTTATCTTTATGACCTATTTCAGTCTGTCTGTCTTCCGTAAAATACCTTGCAACGGGCCCAGTGATGCCAGCTATGATGCCTTCTGAGACAGGTAGGCCCTCATCAGAGACAAACTCCAGTTCCGTGACTCCTTTCTCTCGGAGTCGCTGTGCCAAGCGATTAGCACCCTCATGACCATGTATCTGGATATACAGGAGGGATGAGATAAATGTACGTGTCTTCTGAGTGTGTGTGCTGGCATGTGTATATATATACAGTAGTCTCCGCCTAAGATCCCGGTGCTCGAGAGCAAGGAAAATGCGGGATCTTAGGCGAACCGCGATCTTAGCTGAATGGCCAGGGGGAAGAATCCGCAGTTACTCATGGTCAGGCCCATAATCTGTACAATGATCTTCCCTTACTCTAAAATGAACTGACATGACTCCTGGGCACTAAAAGTTCTTTTCAGAAGTCAGTTGTTGTTTTTTTTTTGGG